CCCGCGGGCGCGTTGGGGAGGCGGTTGCATGTTGGTCACGTGACCGTCAGCAGGCCCCTCCGCTCTTTTTCGTGAGCGTCGGCTGTCGGTCACGCGTGACTTTGCTCGCCTGTCCGAGCGAAAGAGGGGTTCCCGACGGGCTCATGTCTGTCTGTGCTAATTGCCGAGGCGGTTTTGAGCAGGCACGAATGAATGATCTCCAGCTCGTATCGCCGATGTTTTCGGCAGATGCGCTGACGACACATTCGTCACAATCAAAAGTTGCGGCGTGCTGGAGGACAAGGCATTGTTGGATTACATCTTTCCCGACAACGCGCCGTCTGGATTCTTACCTGTATTTTTTGACAAAGTTGCCGGGGCACCTCTTAGCTGTAAAGAGCTTCCGCAGAAAATGGGTCTCGGTCTTCATGTCGTCTGGATTGGTGAAATATGTTTTTACACTGCAAGAGAGTGTTTGCGCGTAGTTGATTCAGTGAGAAGTGGGAAGTTACTATGGAGACTTCTAATGTGAGAGGTAGTTGTCGCCTTTCCGTAAGGTGTTGTTTTGCGTTCCCCACTGATTTCTTTGTCAACCGGTAGGTTTAGAAACGACAGAGAACTGTTTGTGCTTATTTTGTGTTCGTTCAGCCGGTCATAACCCCAACCGTCATGTGGGACCATAAACACAAATGTGCGCTCGCACAAGGCGCAGATGGTTCATAAACTAGGTCTAGCAGGCGGGTCATAAGAACTTCATCGAACCGAAGTTCATCAGTGCCTCGCCACCTGCCATTCTCTGTCGCTGCAGATCGGGTATTTATTCAATCAGGAATGGACGCACACCAATCCATTGGCTTCCCGAAGCAAACAATCTCCGAATGAACAGTGGAGATCAGGAACAAGCAACCGCTTGCCAGGGGGACCCATAAGTTCCGATTTTGAAAATTTACTCTCTACAAATTTGTTATGGAAAAATCTCCGAGCAAACAACGTGTACAACCACTGAATTTTATTTTTAAGATAATTCCTCCGTTCTTCTTATGCGGAAAGTATGCGTGTTTTTTCCTTGCCAAGCGATCTCAAGCCCATTTCCACTCGAACCCTTCCATCAATGAGTTGAATACCAGGCATTGGAGGACATCCCATTCGAAGGTCGTACATCGGCATGAACTGTACTTCCTCAAATACTCTTATTTGGTGTGGTGTAGCATGCTAGACAGTTATTATATCTTGCTTTTTATAGGACGAAGATAGTAATGCAGTTCAGATGACCGGTGATCGGAGTTCGCCGCGCGCTTTTTCCCGTGTTCGGTTTTAGCTGGGCATCTTCATATTCCTCAGTTGCCAGACGGTAACCTTGGACTTCAACCCCAGCCAAGTGAAGGTCGAGCATTTTCAAGTTCAGTTCTCTACAGCACCACGCAATGGTCCACATCCTACTGGTTGCGATCAGAGTGTTCGAAGTTATGGGGAAGTTGTGTTAGTCGATCTATCCTGATGACAGGCTGAAAATACTTAGAAAGGCACATAAGCCGAAACTGTAATTCGTCCCCTCTTTGTCAGTAATATTTACTCTACGTTCCCACATATATTGTCCCTTTTTGACGCCTTTTACCATATACTTTACATTTTTTGTTTGCCTCGGAAAATTATGGCCTTTTGTTTCCCTCCAACCCTCGCACTATTTGTCTGAATCGCCCGTATTCTTCCCGCGCAACTTGACACTGCCCGTCTGACTATACGCCACATCTTTCTGACTGTACGCCTGGAGACGTTTGGTTGCAAGTGTAACATTACAATTATAGAACCGTGTTTCCGTACAATTCTGCACTTATTTACACCGTTTCCACGTACGGACTGTACGAAATAAACCGACATAGACGACCGAATCTAGACAGGCTAGAGAGCAGCTAGGTTCAACAGACTCTGTGTGAGTAACGCGAACAGGAAACAGTTAGCGGTCGAAAGTACTCCACATCTACTTTTGCTTTTTAATTTCTTTAGAAATTGACTGCTAACTCGGAGTCGATCGGATTATACTAAGTTTCATAGGTGCAAACCAAAATTTGATGTATTCAGATTTGGGCCGAAGCCTATCATCCACAGCGGGATTGCCACACAGTAGTCATTAACTGCCGACAGGCAACTGGTAATATATTTTAGCGCAGGAATATACATATATTCATTAATTAAAATGCCTACTGTGTAAAAAGATAGTAACGTTTGTCGATGAGTATTTTTGGTCTGCCTGATGCTGCTTCTTCCTGGGCGCATTGTAAACAGACTGCATCCAGATCTTATCGGTCGGTTACTCTATCAAACCGAATATTAAAAAGACAATCAAAAGAATGGAACCCGCTGATCGTTAGCAATAGACGCGGTTCTCGGGCAGCCTACCCTGCATAACTCACTCAGTTTCAGAATTCATCTCCTGTCCGTCTGCCGTTTCTGAGAAACCGGTCGGCGATTGAAAACAATGGCCACTCCTTTGGTGCTGGCCGTCGGCAGTTGCATTTTGTACAACCCTGCTATCCTTCACACATATGTGCGCATGTCCATCCTAAATTTTGGAGTAGGGAACTAATATTGGTAGGTTTCAAGCTGGGAATTCTATTCTGTAGGGACTTTCCTCGTAAGTCTGTCAAACAGCGATCATAATAAGACTTTTTCTGGAAAGCTTAGTCTACTTTTTAAATAAAAAGGCCGGTGGCAACCATCGGGCGTCATTTAATGAAGCCAAAAGACCCGCAGCCACGGGTAGAAACGTCTGGAGTCGTTTATCGGATCTGGTGTAGTTGCGGACAAAGAAACTACGTCGAAGAGACCGGTTGACTGCTCCTAACGCTAGTGGCCGAACACGCGGCAGCAGTGCAGAAAAATGACGCCAGCTCTAAAGTTGCGACTCATTCGACGAGACCTGGCCACACATTCAAATTCGATGAGACTGAAATTCTCGCAAGAGGTGACAACCACGTGAGCGGGGAGCTACTTGAATCATGGTTTACTGGCCTCCAGTTCATTAACAAGTGCAATGAACTTCCCCTTCCATACTCGATGCTGAGACTTCGCCTAGGCGGAGTAACTGGCCACGCGGGGAGCGCACAGGTAAACACTTTTCCCAACACCGGGGTCGGTGCGTCA